AGAGTCTGTGATGATGAAGATCAGACAGGTTGTTATAGGCTACGGGTCGTCCACTTGAGCATTAAAAAAAAGTTTGTGTGCTCTAATTTTGGGGAATATTTCTATAAAATTCTGCTCTGGTCACTGTAATAATTGAAGATATTAGTCAGGGTGGCGCTTCTCATTGTTTAATTACTCACCGATTGTTTTTGCAGTTGATAGTGGTGTTTTAGTAGCTTACAATTGAGATATTATAGTTTATATTAATATTTTTTTAAAATGTAGTTCATATGTTTTGCATAAATGCAAAATTGCAAAAAAATGTAGTGAAAATGCCTCTTCATTTTAATTGTTATATTGTAATTATAGTTAAAGTTTTAGTAATTTAGTGTGTTTTTCTTATTTTTATTGTTTGTCTAATTGAGATACTATTAGGCTTATAGTTTTATTAACTTTAAATAAATTTGATTAATATATATGTTTTTTTTTTAAATATAAAGTTAGGCCTATTTTTGGTTGTGTTTCTAATTTTTGTTTACATTTTTTAAATATAATTTTTTTCAGTTTTAGTCATTTTAGAAGACGACATAAAGTTATACTAAATGAAAATGAGAAACATGTCTGCAATTAGCTGAAATAAATTAAGTTTAAGGTTTATTTAAAAGTTTATTATTTTTATAGTTTTAGTTTATGTTTACTATAATAACCCTGAATTTATGACTTGACACGAGCAGAAAGTGGATGTTCATAAAAAGCTAAAGTTAGTCACGGATTGTCAGTGACAAACTACCTGCTAGAAAACATCAAATGATGTCACTTCCTGTGGATGATGTCATGAAGAAAGAGTTAGAGGGCAAACGAATAAAAGCATGGAAATGTAACTTAATCACCAATTAAAAGAGCATTCACACGAAACCACATTTGGATTAGAGAAAGAAAGGTTGTGTCGTCTTTATTCTGAAGATTGAGTTCAAAGGTCAGGGTTAGGGGCAGGAGTGCAGGGGTCGTTGCATAACACTGACTGCTGGTTGGGTGTGTGTGTGTGTGTGTGTGTTTGAGCAGGTGTGTGTTCTGAGATGCTCATTGATGGACTGAGTGATGTGGTTGTCAGGTGTCACATGTTCATTTATGTGATTCTCCAGAAAAAGACTCAACCAGAGGAAGTGAGATTATGGATATGAAGTCGAAAAGGTGGAAGAAACTGTTATTTTTGTGGTTGAGAAACTGCAGATTAGTGAGATGATTTAATGTTAAGGCATTATGAGCTGATCTCAGAGCAGCAGTGATCGGACTTGACTCCCCTGATTAACTGAGATGATCTGATCTCAGACCAGCTTCTGCTTGAATGCTGTGACTCGCTCAGGTGCTTCATTGATTCTCCTGCTTGATTCTTCAAAAGGTGCTGACCAGTATTATTATGACAATTATCAATTATTATTATTACTAATATTAGCGTATTTATTCATCATAATTTTTATTGTCTGTAAAGTTTTAAAAGGTGCTAAAATACTATTAGTGTTTGTATTATTATTAAGTAAATATTCATTCTTTATTATTATTTTAATTATTTCCGGAAACGTTTAAAATGTATTTATTATTATATTTTTGTTTAATTGGTATTTATAATTTTTATTTATTTACTATTATCATTATTCTCTAGAAACTTTTAAAATGTGCTAAAATATTATTATTGATATTTATTTGTATTATTATTTTTAAAAATGTGCATTCATTTATTATTATTATTATTATTATTATCATTATTTCTATTGTCTGTAAAGTTTTATAAGGTGCAAAATATTCATTATTTATTGATGAAACGTTTAAAATGTACTATTATCATTATTCTCTGGAAACTTTTAAAAGGTGCAAAAATAATATAAGAATTAATTTTATATCATTGTTTTTTTTAAATATTAATTTATTATTATTATTATTGTCATTCTCTGGAAACTTTTAAAGGTATAAAATATTCATTTTTTCTTTCATTTGCATTTATTTTCAATCTATGTATTATTTTAATTATATTTATGTGTATAATTTTTTATAAGGATTATTTTAAAAATATCTATTGTTATTATTATTATTAATAATATTCTTTGTAAACTTTTAAAATGCGCTAAATTATTGTTTATGGTCATTATTAATTTTCTTTTAAAATGTGCTAAATTATTATTAATATTTTGTAAGCTATAATTTTCTGTTATTTTCTTTTATAATGTGCTATATATAATATTATGCTTTATATCATCATCTTTTATCTATTATTGCACTCCTGCTCGTGTGTTCGTAGAAAGAGCAGCAGAGGGCGCGAGTGTGTGGGTTGTGTGTGTTTACAGAACAAGTTAGTGTTGCGCGCTATCTGCTGGTGAGATGAGTGAACTGCAGCCGATCAGTGTGTGAGTGAGTGTCTGTGTGTGTGTGTGTGTGGTTTACACATGGTTCCCACGGGTCCTTTAATGTTTTTGAATCTGAGAAGAAAAAACGCAAGATCCTGTAATTTTTTTTGAAAATAACCATGCATAGATGCATGTCCTTGAAAGTGCTTGGATTTATTTTAAGCCATATTATTCCCTCCAGTCCGCTAATGTGTTATTCCGCCAACACTGCGTGGCCTATGTGCACTGATTTACGTTAGTTACGCGCATTCACGCGGTGCTTCCACCACGCTGTCAGTTACGCGCATCCACGCGGTGCTTCAAATGTTTCCCGCGCGAGGTACCTCGTGTTGTACGGTGGGCGCCATGACGTTCAAGCGCAAAAAACTACTACAATGGAACCTCAACGTTTGTTCTTGGACACACCAAACCTGTCCCCACATTAAATCCAATAATTTGAGGGTATTGGACCTGGAAAGTGCTTGAACATGAAGTTAACCTGTGTGTGACCCCTGTTTACAGTAGGTGTTGTTTCAGTTTCTGGCTGTAGTTCTGTATTGTTCTGCTGTTTGATGTCAATCACAGTCTGATCCAGGGAACAGCTGTGCTGTTGTATTCGGCCATTTTCCAGGAGAGTGTGTGTTGTATGTTTCAGGAATTGAGTTTTAGACGAATGATTAACCGAAGCGTGGAGGTCATGTGATTACAGACCAGAGGTCACTGCGCCGGTGCAAACCTGCTGTGTGTTTAATACGGGCTTAGACATCCAGACACACTGCGGTAGAAAGATTTATTTCAGTATCACATTAGAAGGTGCAACAAGACAAGATAAAGTGCATTTCAGGACTTTCAAGTAGAAGTTTCTCCGTCGTCTGGAAGATTTCAAACAGGAAGACGCGTTTAACCAGCTTAGAAAGGGATCATAAAGATTCCCATCATGCAGCAGCAGCTTAATATATTTACACACATCAGATTCTCCCAGAAAAACAAGCACGATCAGAGGAAAGCGTCAGGGGAACGACTGACTGATCTCTAGGTTCTACATTAAACACTCCCGCTACATCAGCTACAACTCGTCCCAGTTCAGTTTCAAGAGTCCGAAAGCGTTCCAACTGCATTAAACATCTTTCCCTTTTAAACACAAAATGATGTGCAACACACTTAACATGTACACAACTCACATAAAACGAGCAAAGACCCAGCCTGAGTGCAAGTGTTCAGATCCCAGCTAACAAGTTCTTCCAGTAACGCTAATTCGGAACGTTGTTCTTCAAACGTTAAGGGAACATTCTATTTCTTCATTCTTCAAACATCATCGGAATGCGACTTTTAAATGTTCTCTGAACATTCCGAATCAAATTAAAAAACATTTGAAACATTCCATGACCGATAAACATTCAGAAATAAGGTTTTTATAACTTAATCTTCTTAGAACTTATTTTTTTGTTAGCTGGGATATTAGATTAAATCATGATTCTTATTTTTTTTTTTTTGCATCTAATTTATGAAAAAAACAAACTTATCTAAAATTCTTTGATCATCAATTCAAATAAATGTCTGGTTCTTTCACCAGGAAGGAAATTAATTCCAGACAATTTCATCTTTTCATCCCTCCAACTGTTCAAAGAAATCTATTCCAACAGGCTTTTAAATGGTAAACTCTATAAATAACGTATTAAAATAAAATGACTCGACTGTAAAGAAGCATCTGTGATTACGGTCACTGTAGAGAGAGAATCATCTGTCTGTCCTAATCTCGTCTCCTTTGGTGATTTTTATTTGTGCTTCTCTTCTTTCCTTTTTCTTGGCATCTTAGTCTGATGTTCTGTCGCCAGTTTCAGGAGGCGTCTGATCTCCACTGGACGCCACATTACGTGACCCTCCCTCCTGTGATCTCGTGAAGGACCATTTAGGTGACATGACATGAGGTCACGACCTTTAGGGTCACGTGTTCCTTGAGGCCAAACACACCCACTTCCTCCTTTAGGAAGACTGCGATGAGCAAAGTACAAAAATGCAGGCAAGGTGATGTGTGTGTGTGTATATATGTGTATATATAATAATGTATGAATAATGTACGTACATTTTTTGTACTATTTATATTATAAATTTGTATACAAATAATGCATTTATTTTTTATAAAAGTATTATATTTATTTATATAAATTAGTTATATTATGTAAATAATATACATTAGAATAATTTGCATGTATAAATATATTTATTTATATAAAAGTTCATTTATATATGAATAATACAGGTATTTATATAAATGTACTTAATATATATATATATATATACACTTATATAAATAAATATATTTATGTATTTTTTACTTGTATACATTTATTAATTAAATTAAGTACTGTATTTATATGAATTAATTATATTATGTAAGTATAATAAATTTAACTAATAATAATTATTTGCATATATATTAATTCTTATATAAATAATAAAAATGTATTTTTTTTAAATGTGATTTAACAAAATAAATGTACTTAATATATATATATACACTTATATAAATAAATATATTTATGTATTATTTACTTGTATACATTTATTAATTAAATTAAGTACTGTATTTATATGAATTAATTATATTATGTAAGTATAATAAATGTAACTAATAATAATTATTTGCATGAATATTAATTCATATATAAATAATAAATGTATTTTTTTTAAATGTAATTTAACAAAATAAGTGTGTGTACTCGTGGGCCGTCATATCTCAGACTCGCTCTTATAAGTCGTGGGGTCGAGCGGTATGGCAGTCTGCAGGATGTCGAACTCGATCTGGTTGTCCATGTCTAATACGCAGAGCACGTTGCTGCCGGAGGTCATCGTGGCCGAGTCCTGGAACATTTTCTGGAAGCCTGTGGGAACGCCGGTCATATCCTCACCTGCACGCTCCTCGTCCTCGTCCTCTCCGCAGCACAGCGCCACCTCGTTCTCGTAGCAGAAGGCGCTAGGCGAGTGCGGCGGGAGGAACGTTTGAGCCCCGCGGTGGCAGCGGATGTCCGGCGTCTCGGAACGGGACGAAGCCGACGAACGGCGTTCGCTCAGATCTTTCAACTCCTTAGCGCTGCAGGCAGGAGTCGAGGGAACCTCGTAAGTTTCGTGGAAGTGAGCGTAATCGACCTTGTAGCAGTCGCGGTCCTCGGAGATGACGGGCTTGAAGCGGTGACCCCAAAGGATCTCGCGGGAAAGGTAGGAGCTTCGCGTTTGCGTGGTCATGGCCGTCGCCTCCACCATTCCCTCCAGGATCACCACGATCTCGAAGTCGTCGGATACGAGGTCGGATCGGCTCATCGTCCAAAGTGGCGAGTCCTCGTCGATCTCGTGAACGATGACTAAAGGCGACACTAAGAAGAGGCGGTCGGTTCCTTCATCGTATCCCACGTTTAGATCCATTTGTTCGAGCGGGATGAACTCGCCTTCAGCCGTCACGTAGGGTCGGATGAGCTGCGCCCGAACGTGAGCCTCGACGATGTGGCTACGCCGAAGGTTCCCGACTCGCCACATTAAGCAAAGCTTCCCGTCGCGCAACGCAATCACTGCGTTCTGTGAAAAAAGCAAGGTTTGGTTCCTCTTCTTCGGACGCGCCATTTTAGCCATGATGGTGCCGATCATGAATGAGTCAATGATGCATCCGAGAATCGATTGCACCACCACCGTCGCGATCGCTACGGGACACTCTTCGGTCACGCAGCGCCAGCCGTAGCCAATGGTGGTTTGGGTCTCGATTGAGAAGAGGAATGCCCCGACGAAGCCCTCGACGTGCAGCAAACACGGCTTCCAAGGCTTCCCGACACGATCTTTATCGAAGTCCCCGTGAGCCAGAGAAGCGCTGTAGAAGATCAAGCCGAAGATGAGCCAGGACACCAGGAAGGTGGAGCAGAAGATCATTAGCAGGTACCGCCAGCGGATGTCCACGCACGTCGTAAAGATGTCCGCCAGGTAGCGCCACGGCTTGTCGTCCATGTTGGTGAAGACCACGTTGCACTGGCCGTTCTTCTTGACGAAGCGGCTGCGCAGCTGGCCTCGACCGGACGTGGAGATCCTCCCGTTGTAGGCGGTGCCCATCGCCGACCCACTCGGACCCTCCGCTCCTCCAGGGGTGTGCAGCCGGCCCGAGCCGCAGCCGTTGTGGAGGCCGAGGGTGGAGATCTTCAGCGCCTCCTCGTCAGGGGACACGATGCTGTACCTGAGAGAGAGGACAGAAGAGTTTGGGGTCTGATTTAGTTGAACTAAATACTCAATGCTTTATAGACCAAAGTGAACTCATATTGAATTTTGACCCTCATAATTGAATTTTGTACTTAATTGAATCAACATAGAATCTCAATGGAATGTTTCATAATTTATACATTTTCCAACATCGACAGTTGTTCAACTGAATCGAATCAACACTGAACTGAGTTGAGCTGAAAAAGGACACTGTTATCTTCTGTAGGTCTGTTTTTTATAGACACAATTGAATTTATAATTGAATTTTGACACAAATTTACATTACACTCATTTCATTTCATTATTGATTATTTTGCAACATTGACACTTATTGAACTGAATCGTATCAACATAGAAGCTCAATTGAATGTTTCATAATTGATTATTTTACAACATTGACACTTATTGAACTGAATCGTATCAACACTGAACTGAATTGAATGTTTCATAATTACATTTTGCAACATTGACACTTATTGAACTGAATCGTATCAACACTGAACTGAATTGAATGTTTCATAATTACATTTTGCAACATTGACACTTATTGAACTGAATCATATCAACATAGAAGCTCAATTGAATGTTTCATAATTGATTATTTTACAACATTGACACTTATTGAACTGAATCATATCAACATAGAAGCTCAATTGAATGTTTCATAATTGATTATTTTGCAACATTGACACTTATTGAACTGAATCTTATCAACACTGAACTGAATTGAATGTTTCATAATTACATTTTGCAACATTGACACTTATTGAACTGAATCGTAGCAACACTGAACTGAATTGAATGTTTCATAATTACATTTTGCAACATTGACACTTATTGAACTGAATTGAATCAACATAGAAGCTCAATTGAATGTTTCATAATTGATTATTTTACAACATTGACACTTATTGAACTGAATCGTATCAACATAGAAGCTCAATTGAACGTTTCATTATTGATTATTTTACAACATTGACGCTTATTGAACTGAATTTAATCAACATAGAAGCTCAATTGAATGTTTCATAATTGATTATTTTGCAACCTTGACACTTATTGAACTGAATTGAATCAACATAGAAGCTCAATTGAATGTTTCATAATTGATTATTTTTCGACATTGACGCTTATTGAACTGAATCATATCAACATAGAAGCTCAATTGAATGTTTTATAATTATTTTGCAACATTGACACTTAATGAACTGAACTGAATCAACATAGAAGCTCAATTGAATGTTTCATAATTGATTATTTTACAACATTGACACTTATTGAACTGAATCGTATCACCATAGAAGCTCAATTGAACGTTTCATAATTGATTATTTTACAACATTGACACTTATTGAACTGAATCATATCACCATAGAAGCTCAATTGAATGTTTCATAATTGATTATTTTGCAACATTGACGCTTATTGAACTGAATCATATCAACATAGAAGCTCAATTAAATGTTTTATAATTATTTTGCAACATTGACACTTAATGAACTGAACTGAATCAACATAGAAGCTCAATTGAATGTTTCATAATTGATTATTTTACATCATTGACACTTATTGAACTGAATCGTATCACCATAGAAGCTCAATTGAACGTTTCATAATTGATTATTTTACAACATTGACACTTATTGAACTGAATCATATCACCATAGAAGCTCAATTGAATGTTTCACAATTGATTATTTTGCAACATTGACACTTATTGAACTGAATCATATCAACATAGAAGCTAAATTGAATGTTTTATAATTATTTTGCAACATTGACACTTAATGAACTGAACTGAATCAACATAGAAGCTCAATTGAATGTTTCATAATTGATTATTTTGCAACATTGACACTTATTGAACTGAATCGTATCAACACTGAATTGAATGTTTCATAATTACATTTTGCAACATTGACACTTATTGAACTGAATTGAATCAACATAGAAGCTCAATTGAATGTTTCATAATTGATTATTTTACAACATTGACACTTATTGAACTGAATCAAATCAACACAGAAGCTCAATTTAATGTTTCATAATTGATTATTTTGCAACATTGACACTTATTGAACTGAATCGTATCAACACTGAACTGAATTGAATGTTTTTTAATTACATTTTGCAACATTGACACTTATTGAACTGAATTGAATCAACATAGAAGCTCAATTGAATGTTTCATAATTGATTATTTTGCAACATTGACACTTATTGAACTGAATCGTATCAACATAGAAGCTCAATTGAATGTTTTATAATTGATTATTTTGCAACATTGACACTTATTGAACTGAATCGTATCAACATAAAAGCTCAATTGAATGCTTCATAATTGATTATTTTTCAACACTGACACTTATTGAACTGAATCGTATCAACACTGAACTGAATTGAATGTTTCATAATTACATTCTGCAACATCCACAGTTATTGAACTGAATTGCATCAATTGAGCAGAATAATGGCACTGTTGTCTTCTGTAGATCTGTTTTCTAAACAAAATTGAATTCATAATTGTATTTTTACAGTAATTTTGCAACACTGACTCGTATTGTACTTAAATGAATCAACATTAAACTCAATTGAATGTTTATACATTTTCCAACATTGAGACGTATTAAACTTAATTGAATCAACATAGAAGCTCAATTGAATGTTTTATAATTGATTATTTTGCAACATTGACACTTATTGAACTGAATTGAATCAACATAGAAGCTCAATTGAATGTTTCATAATTGATTATTTTGCAACATTGACACTTATTGAACTGAATCATATCACCATAGAAGCTCAATTGAATGCTTCATAATTGATTATTTTGCAACATTGACACTTATTGAACTGAATCGTATCAACACTGAACTGAATTGAATGTTTCAGAATTACATTTGGCAACATTGACACTGATTGAACTGAATTGAATCAACATAGAAGCTCAATTGAATGTTTCATAATTGATTATTTTGCAACATTGACACTTATTGAACTGAATCGTATCGACATAGAAGCTCAATTGAATGTTTTATAATTGATTATTTTGCAACATTGACACTTATTGAACTGAATCGTATCAACACTGAACTGAATTGAATGTTTCATAATTACATTTTGCAACATCCACAGTTATTGAACTGAATTGCATCAATTGAGCAGAATAATGGCACTGTTGTCTTCTGTAGATCTGCTTTCTAAGCAAAATTGAATTCATAATTGTATTTTTACGTTAATTTTGCAACACTGACTCGTATTGTACGTAATTGAATCAACATTAAACTCAATTGAATGTTTATACATTTTCCAACATTGGCACTTATTAAACTGAATTGAATCAACATAGAAGCTCAATTGAATGTTTCATTGATTATTTTGGAACATTGACACTGTTATTGAACTGAATCAACAATCCCAGCTAACTAAAATATGTTCTTGGAATGTTTTGCTAACATTCATATTAAGTTATTAAAAAAAAAATCGAAATGTTCTCTGAACATTAAAAACAACTGTTTTTTTCACATTTTTAAATGTTGTTAATGGAACATTCTACTTTATCGTTGTTCAAACAATATTGGAATGTTACTTTTGAAGGTTCTCTGAAACTATTAAAAGTAGTAAAGCTGACGACCAACATCCAACTAAAACGTTCCATGAACAATGTATAAAGAATGTTTTTGAGCTGACTTTTTTGACAACATTAAAGACCAGATAACATTGAACAAACGTTCTAATGTCGTTACTGGAAGAACTTTGAGAGCACCTTCCCACAGCGTTAGCCAAAGTTATGAGAACGTTCCCTGTTACCTGGGTGAATGATGACACTTGATTAAGTCTGTATCATTGATTGTTGTTTCCTGTGAGGCTGTTTTGAATCTGTATTGTATAAAGCGCTATATAAATGTGATGGATCTGTAATCTGATTGGAGAGTTTGTTCTTTTCAGTGACCGCTCTAAAGGACACACACTCACTCCAGATAAACCATGAGTCACTAATGCGTCTCTTACAGAAACACACCAACGGATCCTCCTTAAGAACTTCCTGAACCTTTAACGAATGGACTTACAGTGGGATCAGGTATGTCTGTTTCTCCGTGGTTTCACTGTCTTTTTATCTTTCTCTTTCAGTTTTTGTCCATTAAGGGTTGAGAGACTCAGGTGTGTGTTACCTGCCCCTAAACTGGGATTATGAGGGAAGGAGAGTCATTTAGCATTTAGCCATATCAGGATTGCGGTCAGTGAAGGTTAGGGATTATAACCTGAGTCATATCTCTCTCTCTCCCTCTCTCTCTCCCTCTCTCTCTCTCTCTCTCTCTCTCATACACACATAATAAACAAATAAACATACAGACTGACGATCAATCACGACGATCAGCTGATGTTTGGTGGAGCGCAATAATTACAGTAAAAGCTTTAAATTAAATGGCATTCAAAATTCTTCAGAATTGTTTAGGAATAAAATGTTGCATAAAAAAATAGGTGAATGATATATGAACAAACCCCTCAGTAAAAAGCTTCAGAATATAGATGGGAATAAAACTGTAAGTTTTGGTGCATATAGGTGATGCTGAAGTGGAGAAAAAAAGATTTAAAGATATCAATGGTAATTGAAATCTAGAGACGAAATCAAATGGATAACGTGCAATAATATAAACGCTTAACTGTAGTTTGGATGTTTTCTTTCCACTAGCAAAATAGCACAATCTTGTTGTTGATGAGCAGCATTAAACACAAAGTATTTCACTCGCAAAGTTCAAAACGACTCGCAACCCAGCTGAGAATATGAGCAAAACATTTGATACTTGTGCATTTTACAAAAAAAGTTTTTTAATTAAAATTTTTATTTTACAGATATCAGGGATACTTTACCCAAAACTGATTATTCTGTCATCATTTATTACCCCTTATGTCGTTTCAAACCTGTATGATTTTCTTATGTTGAACCCAAAAGATGACATTTTGAAGAACAACATGATGACTTTCATTGTATGGACAAAAAACAAACTTTACTCAAAATACCATCTTTTATGTCTAACAGATGAAAGAAAGAACGTCACACAGGTTTGGAAAGACATGAGGAGTTATAAAGGATAACAGAATGATCATTTTTGGGTCAAATATCTCTTAATATATTAAGTTATATCATATGTAGGGATGCCGATCATTAAATATTGAGTATCTGCCGAGACCCCCGATCGGATACTTGTGTTTTCCTAGTGCTATGTGCACACTTCAATTTCATTAAAGTTATTACGATTGTCCAATGTTTACAGGGATGTAAAGAGTTTCCCATGGGCTCACATGTACAAAAAAGGGGGGTATCTATCACTATTGTGTGATTCCAATATTACTACTACTACACAAACACATATTTACTAAGAAAATGGGACTACTGATATAGACTTATTTTATATGTATAATAAACAGAATAAGTGCAACAAAAAGGGGGGAAAAGTAAGCAAGTAAGACTCCTGTCATCTCAGTGTCAGTCAACCCACAGCAATGCGTCGGGGCAACCACGTCAGATGGTCTGACAGCAGATACTAATAATTAGTAAATAAATAACTTTCGAGTTATGCACACTTTTGTAAGTAAATACTGCCCTATCTCACGACCAATTCGTACGATTTGTCTAAACCCACGTGATTGTTAGGTTTAGGGGCGGGGTCAGGGGTAGGTCATTCGTACGAATTCATACGAGTTGGCCAATTCGCAAAATATGTATGATTTAGCAAAATCATACTAATTCGTACGACTGAGGTCGTATGAATTGTTACGAATTAGCCACCTCGTAAAATTCGTACGTATTCCCGTGAGATCGGGTTGGTAAATATGCTAAACAGTAGCTTGAACGCTGCGTACACACATTTCATGGTCGCCGGTTGGACCCACTTAAGGCACATACCGCCACCTACTACACAACACTGGCATTACAGCTGGCGTGAAATCAATGATCGGGCTTAGGCAACCCGATCTCACGACCAAGTCGTACGAATTTGACGAATGATTAAAAAGTGGCTAATTCGTAACAGTTCATACGACCTCACTCGTACGAATTAATACGATTTTGCTAAATCGTACATATTTTACGAATTGGCCAATTCGTATGAATTCGTACGAATGACCTACCCCTGACCCCGCCCCTAAACTTAACCATCACGTGGGTTTAGACAAATCGTACGAATTAGTACGAGTGAGGTCGTACGAATTAGACACTTTTTAATCATGCGTCGAATTCGTACGAATTGGTCGTGAGATAGTGTTGGCTTAGGATAACAAAAATTTTAACGATTCTTGTGATCACCATAGAATGACCAGTAAACACACACACACACACATGTTGTAGTCGTACCTGTTGGCTCGGTTGCTTCCCATGCTGTATTTGATCTTCAGCGTGTTTGTGCTGCTGTCCTCAGTGACGCGACAAAACAACGTTCCCCGTTTACTGGGAAAGATTTGGGATCGGCATCCTAACGGATGATGCACAGGCCTGGATGTATCTCACACACTGCAGCCAAAGAGAAACACATGCGCTGTTACACACTCAGTCTGATTTCAGAGGTTTCATCTGAAGTGGACAGAAACTATATTTGTGTTCTGGTTTGGATGCCGTGATCTGGGTCAAAGCAGTGGTTAAAATAGACCTGACGCGCTCACACACACACACACACAGATGTAGGCTAACAACATCACTGATTCGCATGTTCTCTAAATATTCAGCTCAATATTTAGATTTATATATGAACTCTCGTTTAAATCCATTCCAGCCTAAATGTATTATTTATGCATTTGCATTGCAAATTCTTTATACTTTGACTGATTGACTTCATCATCATCATCATCAACAACTGCCCAGATTAACCCAAATAGGCTTAAACATAACATTGTTTATATATATATATATATATACATATATATATATCATTCATGTTGTTGAATATATATATATATATATATATATATATATTTAACAGTTTTAACATAAACACTAATAAAATTGATATGTACGGAGGCGTATTGCGTTCACTAGAAGAAAAAAAATTTGCTCTGTTTTTCTGAATTAATTAGGGTTTTTTTCATGAGAAAAAATTTTTTTCTCTGTTTTTCTGAATTAATGAGTTAATTTTTCATGAGAAAAAAACATTTTTTGCTCTGTTTTTCTGAATTAACGAGTTAATTTTTCATGAGAAATTTTTTTGCTCTGTTTTTCTGAATTAATGAGTTAATTTTTCGTAAGAAAAAAAAATTCCATGAAAAATTAACTCGTTAATTCAGAAAACAGAGCAAAAAAAAAAATCCATGAAAAATTAACTCATTAATTCAGAAAAACAGAGCAAAATATTTTTTTTCTCATGAAAAATTAACTCATTAATTCAGAAAAACAGAGCAATTTTTTTTCTCATGAAAAATTAACTCGTTAATTCAGAAAAACAGAGTAGATTTTTTTTCTTCAAGTGAATGCAATACGCCTCCGAACATTATTTCAGAAAAACAGAGTAGATTTTTTTTTTCTTCAAGTGAATGTAATACGCCTCCGTAGTAAAGCAAGCCAAATGCTAAATTTATTTACATTCAGAGTATCAAAGAAAGTTGCATTTATTATTACTTTTTAAAACTTTTTTCATTATTTTAAAATCAAATTATTTCAATGACATCAATCAGAAGTTGTGTACGTCTTGAGATGATTTAATCTGAAACGGTTTATTAAATGTTTGCAGTTGTTCATGTGGAGATCTCGTCAGACGTCATCAGGACAGACGCATGTGATTCAATAACTGCGCTGCCATAACAATGAAAATGGACTTAACCTTTGTTACACAATATAAACACACTTAATCCCTGACTGAATGTGTGTGTGTGTGTGTGTGTGTGGAGGAGAAGGTTTCTTTCTTTATTCCTAATCCAGTAAATTATGTCTGAATAATCTCCTCATCTCTCATTTTTACAGTGATATGAGAAGCAGATCAAAAGAAACAAGCCCTGAGGATCCTTCAGTGTAATCTGAGACCGTGTGTGTGTGTGTGTGTGTGTGTTTTTAAGATTTATGAGGACAGAAATTTGTATAATGACATTGGTATTACAATGTGAATGTAATTTATGAGGACATTTCCTTTGTTTTAATATTTCAAATGGCTTTATTTTATGGCTTTATTAATATTTCTTACTCACTCAGTGTGGAACACATATTGAGAATCCTGTTGAAAGAGCCCAAGTTATTGGCGTTTATATTACAGGGAACGTACAGTCACATGTTTGCTGTTGAAATTCTGCAGCCGAGCGATGACATCTCAGATCACTATCTAGTCTCGTGTAAACTTCATTTAGCCAAAGCAGCAAAGCCGAATCCGTGTTATAAATGTGTTAGACCGATAACTTCTACCACTAAAGGTCGCTTAAACAATAATCTTCCTCAGTTTCATCATCTTAGTATCCCAGAAAGCTTAGAAAAAATCGATATTAGGACAGAAACTGTTAACTCTCTCCTTTCCAGCACTTTAGACGCAGTTGCTCCGTTGCGCTTAAAGACGATTGAAGAAAATAGTCCAACGCCGTGGTACAACGAGCACACTCGGGCCCTAAAGAGAGCAGAAAAATTTAGCGTAGCTAGAAGAAACTAAACTAGAGGTATTTCGTATTTCATGGAAGGAGAGCTCAATTGCTTACATAAAGGCTTTAAAAGCTGCTAGAACTGCTTATTTTCCAACCCTATTAGACGAAAATAAACAAAACGCTATGTATTTATTTGAAACAGTGGCTAAAATAACGAAAAATAAAGCTTCAAGTCCAGACGTTTCCAAGCAGCACAGCAGCTTCAAGATATCTTCTTGCCAGCAGCCGTTTCACAGGGCTGCGTTTCCCAAAAGCATCGTAAGTTTAAGTTGATCGTATAACCATTCCCACCAATGGTCTATTTGATCGACTGAGGCCCCGTCCACACTACTGCGTTTTCGTTTAAAAACGGAGACCTTTTGCTACGTTTGCACCTCCCGTCCAAACTAAAACGGGAAAAACGAAGACCTAAAACGGAGAAGTTTAGAAACGCTGCAGCTGCGTTTTGCGTTTTGAATCTCCGAAGGGCGTTTTAGTGTGGACGAGACAAAACGGAGAACTTCAGAAACGCTGACGCAGAGGCTGACGCTTGGCTCCATGATTGGGTGTTATCAGTCATGACGTATCCTTCCCTGATTCGTCATTCACTGTTTACACCGGCACGAGCATGCCCAGTGTTGGTGAATGGTCACGTGATCCGCGTTTTCAGTCGTTTTAATGTGGATGGAGATCGTTTCTAATACGCAGATAAAACGCTGGTGTGGACGGAGATCGTATTCGTTTGAATTCTCCGTTTTTAAACGAAAACGCAGTAGTGTGGACGGGGTTTGCGATGCTTTTGGGAAACGCAGCCCTGGTTAGTACCTGGATGGGAGACTCCAGAAAGCCTGCTCGCTGCTGGAAGAGGTGTTAGTGAGGCCAGCAGGGGGCGCTCACCTTGTGGTCTTTGTGGGACGTAATGCCCCAGTATAGTGATGGGGACACTATACTGTCCTTCAGATGATACGTTAAACTGAGGTCCTGACTCTGTGGTCATCAATAACCCCAGGATGTCCTTTAGAAAAACATTAGAATAGGGGTTTAACCCTGATATCCTGGACAAATTGTTCAGTGGCCATCATGGCGTCCTAATCACTGTCTCCTCTCCACCAGTAAGCTGGTGTGTGATGGGTGATCTGGCACAATATGGCTGCCGTCGCATCATCCAGGTGGATGGTGGTGGTTGAGGAGATTCCCCCCTTCCATGTAAAGTGCTTTGAGTGTCCAGAAAAAGGGTTATATAAATGTAACAAATTATTATTATTAAGATTAAAATTATAACTATTCAACTGTCTCCTACAGCATTGTAGTCACCTGAAAAATTTTATTTGATAGGAGAGAATTTACTAAACTTGTTAAATCATCTAAATCAACAACGTGTGTGTTAGACCCTACACCGACCAAGCTCCTGAAAGAGATGCTTCCAGAGGTCATAGATCCTCTTCTTAATATCATTAATTCGTCTTTGACATTAGGATACGTATTTAAAATCACTTGTTAAAAAAGCAACTTGAAGATATTAGAAAAGGCAGTATACTCACAACTATGTTCCTTTTTGATGTCTGCAAGGATTTTCAGTCCAGATTTAGACCGTACCATAGTACAGAGACAGCTCTCATTAGAGTCACACATATTTTGCTCTTATCATCCGATCGTGGTTGTATCTCTCTATTAGTGCTGCATTTGACCACAACATTCTTTTAAATCGACTAGAAAACTATGTTGGCATTTGTGGAACTGCATTAGCATGGTTTAAATCATACTTATCTGATCGTTATCAGTTTGTAGCAGTAAATGAAGAGATGTCTTATCGATCACAAGTTCAGTATGGCGTACCACAAGGCTCAGTACTAGGACCGCTGCTGTTCACTCTGTACATGCTGCCATTAGGAGATATCATTACGGACACAGAATTAGTTTTCACTGTTTTTTCTGATGATACTCAGCTGTATTTTTCTTCACGCCCTGACAAAACTTACAAATTAACATAATGAATGGAATGCTGCTCTGTCAAGTCTTTGTGGTCGGGGTGTGCTCTTTGATAGGAATCTCTCATTTGAAAGTCATGTGTCTAGTGTCTGTAAAACCGCATTCTTCCATCTTAAAAACACGCCATATCCTCTTAATTAAAAATGCGGAACAATTAGTTTGTGAGTTCATGACTTCAAGGATAGATTATTGCAACCCGATCTCACGGGAATTCATACGAATTTTACGAGGTGGCTAATTCGTAACAATTTGTACGACCTCACTCGTACGAATTAGTACGATTTAGCTAAATCGTACATATTTTACGAATTAGCCAATTCGTATGAATTCGTACGAATTACCTACCCCTGACCCCGCCCCTAAACATAACCGTCACGTGGGTTTAGACAAATCGTACAAATTTGTACGAGTGAGGTCGTATGAATTAGTACGAATTAGCCACTTTTGAATCACTCGTACGAATTCGTACGAATTGGTCGTGAGATAGGGTAGATTATTGTAATGCCCTGCACGCTTAATAAACAAACTCCAGTCCAGATAGTCCAAAACGCAGCCGCTCGAGTTCTTACCAGAACCAGGAAGTATGACCATATTGGCTCGGTTCTGTCAACCCTGCATTGGCTGCCTATTAAACATTGTATACATTTAATTATATATTGGTGATTACTTACAAACCACTAAATGGCTTAGCTCCCCAGTGCTTGAGCGAGCTCTTTACGCATTATAGTCCTTCTTTTTAATTATGATCTCAAAATGAATTTTTAAGGCCAGACAAGTAATTTGTAAAGAAAGACTACACGCCTGCGCACATATATATTTAAATATGCATATCTACACTGTAAAAAATATTTTCAAGATTTGTTATCACAACATATTTTCTTTTGTCAAATCAACTTTATAATAATTTATTTAGTTGAGATAACTTATTATTTTGAGATTCTGATGGTTAAATTAATCTACTTCATTGTATTAACTCACTTTTTCCAGTTCAATCAATTTAAAATTCTAAGGCAACCCAGGTTACTTACTTTTTTAAGTTAAACCAACAATTTTTTTTTTACAGTGTAGTAATCACATTTTTTCTTTTGTCAAATCAACTTAAATAATTTATTTAGTTGAGATAACATATAATTTTGAGTTTCTGATGGTTAAATTAATCTCCTTCATTGTATTAACTCACTTTTTCCAGTTCAATGAACTTAAAATTTTAAGGCAACCAGGTTACTTACTTTTTTAAGTTAAACCATCAATGTGTTTTACAGAATTACAGACTGAACACGTAAAACGCATGTGCATGCTGTCAGCTTTTTCACAGAATCACGTTTTTGAAGTTTACGCGGAGATGACCGTGTTTTTCAACTCTTTCTCTGGGTTTGCGTTCTCGAGCCACCAGACACTGTTTTGTGTGGATGAGCGGCCAGAGCGCGTCCTATTGTCACTGTAAAGCTGCTTTAAGACAATATATATTGTGAAGAGCGGTATATTAAATGAATGTAACTTGACTTGACTTTAAAAACAGTAAAAAAGTAAAAAGTATTAAAAATGTAAAAATGCAAAAAGTTTCCTGTGATGGGCAGGTTTAGGGGTCGAGTGAGTGTAATTACAAAATACAATCTGAGTGAGTGTGTGTGTGTATGTGTGTGTCTAGAGTATGTGAGTGTGCGCGTGTGTCTGAGTGAGAGTGTGTTTATCTGAGTGTGTGTGTGTGTGTGCATGTATCTGTGTCTGTGTTTTTTTGTGCATGTGTTAATGTGAGTGTGTCTGAGTGTGTGAGAGACAATTCAAGTAAGTTCAGATTCAAGCAGATTGTATATTTATTATTTTTTACTATATAAACAATGAAGATTTTGATGTTCTTCACTTAGAAAGTGCGCGAAAAGAGTCACATGAGTTCTGTGTTTTTAATTTATTGTAATTTTACTATATTTTTAATTTCTATTAATTATTTTTGGTTTATTGTGTTTTTATAGTGGTTTTATTAACATTACTTGAAATTTAGATATTTCAGAATCTATAGATTTTTAAGAACCCTGCAGAACGTTCCGTGTTAGCTTGGGTTTCTCTTCACTATCTTTGGTTTTCACTTAATTTCACCTTGAATTTGTGTTGACTTCATTTTGGAAGTCATCCAAAATGACTTGCAGTGCATTCAGGGTATACATTTAATGAGGTCACTCGTGGGAAATTAACCCATGACCTTGCTGACATTGATATGCCATGATCTGTTTGAGCCACAGGACTGTGGAAACTGCTGAAGTTCATCACATAACTATCATCAACGCTAAATCTAACACTTTTCATGCAAGTGAAATGTGTAAATGCACGCTCACATTCAGTCATAACCAACATATTTACACACAACGCCTCTAAGACACTTCGATTTGTCACAACATCAGCAGCTGTCAGTCAATAAATGGGAAAACAAAAGTAACTTCCGTTACTTATTTGAAAAAGTAACTCAGATATGTTGTGAATTTTAAAAGTAATGCACTACTTTACTTTACTAGTTACTTGAAAAAGTAATCTGATTAAAATGACTTGTTATGAGTTACCACAACACTGGAGAGTTGAAGACTTTTTACACCCAGATTTGACAATATAAGCCACAATTTTTCCTCTTTGTACATTCTACAGAAAATATCTAATACTTTGATAAATACCATGGTACAGTTTGATTACTATATTAATACCAACACCTCAGTATTTACATGGCACTATATGTATAAATCATGGTATTAGGCACTTAATTGTTCAAACTAACTAAAACATTGGTGCATTTCTGTAGGACTGGAAACATAAGTGCATTGAGTGCATTAAGCTCATTGATCAGGGGAATCAGATGAAGTCACGCGGCACATTTAGCGCGCTTTCCACTGGAAACTAACCGTCAAATAAACATGAGGCGACAGAACTCCAGTTTCCCGCGCTTGAAGTTTAAACTGATATAACGTAGCCTACAGAGTGTGTGAAACTTTTAAATACCCCAGGGGTTTCATCCATCGTGCTCCAGATGTTCGTCTCAAATCTGCGGGATTGAGACTGTGACATAAATATGATGACGTGCAGGTAAATTTAGCGCGCGCGGTAAATCCGGAAAAGCTCCAGATGCGGCGCGCGACCAGTGCGTGATCTCAAACAGAGAGAGCATAATCTCTTTTCATTACAACATCAAGTTTCTTTTCTCGTTTTCAGCCGCATTTATCCTCCCCTCATCTGCCCATCAGCCATTGGGTTTATGTACGTCAGTCCTTCAGTTTTAAACACTTAAAGTTACAACGAACGTTCCTAAATCAAATATTTTTATAACATTAATTTGTACGTTTACACCACTCTTGTTTTAAAAAAAAAATAAATAAAGACATATACATTTGTTATACAAGTGTCAAAAATTGACAAAATGCAGAAGACATCTTTATCCAAATGCCGGTAATGGATGGATGTGGAAATAAAAAATCACTAATGAAGAGCAATTATTATTATCTATTATCAGATTTACTGCACACAAGAAAATTAGAATTACTCACCTTGTTAAAGCAAATATTTAATCTGTAAAGGTATTCTCTCCCTTAAACCTGTGTTCTGCTCACGGTCACTTCGTGTTTCGGTGGTAATTAAGTGCGCCGTTATCTGTCCCGTTTTTTTTTTTTTTATTCTCCGAAAACACTCATCTTTAACACGATGTTATCAGCGCCGTGTTTTTGTAATTCATGTTTTCTTGTAGTTTTCGCAGGTTAATCCCACCGGTCGGTCTCTCTTCTTTGACTTGACTCACGCGCTAATCTCCGAGCGCGCGCGCGCTCTCCTCCTCATCCTCGTCCTCGCGGTCTCGCGCGCATGTGGGTGACCGACCGGCGGATAACGGGGGAGGAGGAGGAGAGAGATGCGAGAACCTGTCACTGCGATTATGCTCACTTCAGATTGATGTCAAGTGAAATTCAGTACAAATTAGTCCAGACGTGATGGATGAGGGGATGAAATGGAGGACCGCCGATTGACTTGTTCAGGGGTTTGCTTCTGCTGTCTGTAGGATAAATGCACATTTGTATCATTGTCATCATCTTCAGCTTCACAGATTTTATTCTTAGTGGATGTTTCTCGCTGTCAAAGTCTTTTAGCATCCAAATCAAAATGTTCTCTCACACAGATTCAGAAATAATATGACCAAAACTGCGGTTCTTTCATAATCCAAACTACCCACACGCTTTTAAAAAATAAGAGAGACCATCTGTTAAAAATAAAGCTTCTTTATTGACATCATTGGATCCATTAAGAACCTTTATTAACATCCATGGAATCTTTCCATTCCACAAAAGGTTCTTTATATTATTTAAATATAAACAAAAGTTCCAATATGGAGTTTTCGCGTGATGCTCCATGGAAGATCTATTTTTGGTTCCCCAAGAACTTTTCAGTGAACAATTCTTAAAAGAATGTAAGATCAAAATTCTTGTAATAGTCTAAAGAACCTTTTGTGGAACAGAAAGATTCCATGATGTTCGGAACCAATACAGAACCTTATATTTTAAGAGTTAGACCCTAAAGAAACTGAAAAGAAATGAGAAATTCCAGTGAATCTGATGAGAACAAACTGTTTACAAACACACAAATGAACCGCTTCACCTCAGCTTGCGTCTTAAACCGCGTGAACGTTGCTTTCCTGACCTCTGCTCTGTGTTTCGGTCCTGATCACTTGGTTTTGAGAGATTCTAGAGCACGGTTTCTATGGAGACGTGCGGTTGTTGTTTCGGCGATGGAGGCCTGAATGAGGAGGTGGGTAAATCTGAACATATGACAGCCGTGGAGTGACAGTAGGAGTGTGTGTGGGAGAAAACACACGAGCTGAGGCGAGAGGATCCTTCAGGAATGAGGACGCATTTAACAAGACGAACCAAAATGTGTTCTTGTGGAATCAGTGCTCAAATACACTATATATATATATATATATATATATATATATTAGGGCTGTGCAAAAATTAATTGCGATTAATCGCATCCAAAATAAAAGTCTGTGTTTACATAATATATTTGTGTGTGCTGTATATAATTATTTTGTATTTATAAATACCTATGCATGCATGTATATATTTAAGAATTATTTGCGCTTAAATTCTGTATATATATATAAATACATAATCTATATTATATAAATATAAATATTTTATATATGAATAACACATTTTCTTAAATAAATACATGCATGTGTGTGTATTTATATATAATATATTATGTAAACACAGACTTTTATTTTGGATGCGATTAATCGCAATTAATTTTTGCACAGCCCTAATATATATATACATATATATAGTGTATTTGAGCACTAATTCCACAAGAACACCTATATATATATATATATAAATGTGTGTGGTGTGTGTGTGTGTATGTCTGAGCAAAAGTAATGCATTACGGTATTACGTTATTCCCTTAAAAAGTAACTAGTTGCGTTACTTTATTTACTTTTCCAAAAGTAATTAAAGTTACTACATGTGCTCTTCAAAAATGGCCTATATTTAGTTTATTTCAATTAAATTAATTTACTTTATAGTTTGATAATGATTTTTATTTAATGTTTTGAATTTTATGGTACTAAAAAATTGTATTCACGCTGTATTTGTTTATAATCCATTAATTCACTTTTGAGCATAGACCTGAAAATTAAATTTCCATCTTTGACTGTTGTAAATCTTGAATTCGTTGGAGTAACAGACTTCAGTTTGCTCTCTTTTCAAAGACGATTATTCAGATTTTTGCTGAAGTAAAAAAAAGTTTAAAAACTGAAAAGTTTTATATTAAATATCTTTCTTTTTTTTTTTAAACAAACATGTTTGACTAAAACTGTGAGAAAATTAAAGACATAAATCTAAACAAGTTGTTTTCAAATCTGAGCCTGATATCTTAAAAAATGAGCTTAGTGAGAGTTAGTTCGGCTGCAGTTCCAAACGCTTCCACTAGAGGAAATTCGTCTCCTGTTCGTTTAAAAATGTGAGGAGCACAAGTCAGCAGCAAGTACATCATTGGTCAATAAAGTGAGATTAAATGCAAAACAACTTTTGCATTTGACTGATTTTGTTCATTTTGAGAAATACCTATAATAATCTGTTTTTTTGCGCAAGTATATCAATCTGTGCTAATGTGATGTGGTCACATTTACCGTTTTTTGGCAAATGTTGGAATCCACATGCAAAAGTTTTCACCCCCTTGCAGATTCCTCAAAAGATTCAAGTTGGTCACGCCAATTTACTGTATTGAGTTTTCGAAGGTCCACCCCCAATCATAACTATAAGCAGATCATACAAAAATCCAGATCCTATGGATATAAATGAGTCAAAACGTAAAATAGTTAAAAAAAAAATTAAAAGTGATTGTGTTGGTGCTTCTGAAAATAGAACGAGGAATTAAAATAAGATATGATTTCATATTGGTAGTTACGCAATTAAACTTTAATAAATCTATAATTATTCAGTTGTTTTGATTGGATATACAAACATCCTGCCCCTGAGAGAGAGAGAGAGAGAGAGAGAGAGAGAGAGAGAGAGAGAGAGAGAGAGACAGAGAGAGACTCAGACAGACAGGTGATCCTATAAACTCAAACAGGACATGACCCAAAACCTCAATACCACACACACACACACTCACACACAGGGTCGATGGCAGTAGCATGAGGTCACAGGGTGAAGGACACAGAGGTCAGAAAGAAATTTAATGCACTTTCACCCTAATATAAGAGAGAACTTCAGATGAAGTGAAAGACCTGACACATTTTTACACCTGTCAATCATCCCAAATCACGCGTGAACAATAATATTCAAGTCAAGAACGTTTTGCTAACGTTCCCATTAAGTTATTTCTAAATGTTCTCCGAACGTTCAAAACGTCCAAAAACTTATATTGCACATGTTGGAGAAAACATGAAATGTTCCATTTTAGAACGTTTTTGTGATCATGTTATAAGACAATTGATACATTTGAAAGAACGTTCTAAGAACGTTACAGGAAGAACATTTCCCTGTTAGCTGGATTTAGGTCCAGATATATTAGCAATCCTCAGATATAACATCTGCTCCTCAAACATGTCTCAATTATTACTGTGAGAGTGCGACAGTGACACAGCACAACAGAACAGTGTGTGTGTGTGTGTATTAATAGCCTGTAATCGCCTCTAGGCGTCCTGTTAAATTCCCACAACAACACCATTGTCTCTCTCCAGGTTTTCCTTTCCCCCTTGAACAAGAACACACTGCTGTTGTTCTTTCTCTCTTTCCACCGGTAGAGTAGCTTGTCCTGTGTGCTGTGGCCGTTCACGCAGTCGTGTGGAAACTCTAGTTTTCTGCCGTTTTGCACACACTCCTGCCGATTGTGTTATGTAAGAAAGAACCTTTGCTAACTTCCTAATTTGATCCCGAATGGTTGAGTGCTCCTCTCTGTCACACTGAGTTCACACGCGACTCTCAGTCCAACCGTTCCGACGCGCTGAACGCGCCGCGTCTCTCGTCTAGACACCAGACAGACGAGCATCAGTGACTGTGTGAAATAACGCTCAGCTCATTCACACTGTGTACACAATTATGCAGGAGGGTGTTAAATACAACCCGTACAAATCTGTTATATTTTACTCAAGTACAGGCCTAGATGGTAGCCTATGTAGGCTATATTGTTGTGACTCTCTTTTTGAATCTCTAACGTTCTCAAAACTTCTGGGAGGGTTCTCTCGAAGTTATGAACAAACGTTTTTCCAGCAACGTTCGTTCAAGTTATCCGATAATGTTCTTAAAGCGTAAGCACAAAAACGTTAATTATCTACATCGGTTCATGGAACATTCGTTTATCATTTTAAAACATTACATTCAGAACGTTCTAAAACGTTCTAAAACGAACGTTCATATATGTTTGCAAACTGGTCAAATGGAATGCTCCCAGGTGGGACGTTTGCCACTATATTTTTAAAACAATAATATCTTAGTAAATACCTTAAATAATATTGACAAACTATATATCATTTGAAAGCTTACAATCTCTAGTTTCCATATTTGGTGATTTTCAAAATATATTACAGAGGAGTCATAATTTATCAATATAAAACAAGAATATTTTCATACTCATAAGGCGTGTTCAGACCTTTATTTTAAAATAGCAGTAAACATGAAAAATCATGAAAAAATGGTAGATACCTCAGTTTGTTTTCATGCCAAAAGTTCAAAAGATAGAATCCATTCAATTATTTTGGAAAAAAAAGGTCTGAAAAGTTTGAAATATCAAGAAAAAAATAATAAATTCACCATTTGTGACGTGGCAGCTAGCTATGACTTACATGTGTGTTCTTTGTATGTGTTTCTTAGAGGTTCAATTCATATCAAAATCTGCCAAACTTCCCATGCTACTTCTGAATAGGATCTCTACTTCAGAAATTGTATGAAAATTGTGAAAATAATGGTTCATATCACTCCAAACACGAATGGAAATGCAGGCGCCCTTATATGGGCAGTAATGGAGTCAGATTGTGCCCTAGTGAAAAAGTTTGGTACTGCGCTCAAACAAAATCTTACTGAAAGCTCATTTTTTGAGATATCAACCAAAAATTTGAAACACAACTTGTTCAGATTTTTGGCTTTGATCTTTCTGACATTTTAGAGTAGCCCAGGTTTTGAAAATATATATTTTATGTAAAATATGAATAATTAATATTTTTACATTGTACATTTCCATAAACTCAAACTTCTATAACTTTTTTTCGGTTTCACTTTCTTAATTTATTTCACTTCTACAAAAATCTGCCAAATGTCTTCTTTAAAACAAGATCAATCATATGTCTATATTCCAAAGCATTCTTGAATTACAACCATTTAAGTTCGAAATGTGCATTTTCATGTCTATTCAAATAAGGGGGGGGGGGGTGACAGTTAACAGGTTAAACAAGAATGTTTTTAAACATTTTTTAAACATTTAAACGTTCAGACAGAAATAACGTGTATTCTAGTTTAACGTTAGCAAAACGTTAGGAGCACATATATTTGTTATGTGCTGAAACAAGGTAAACCTTTATAATACTTTAGGTTCTTGCATGAACCATATATGAATAAACCATTTCGGATCTTAAGTTTAAGTGATTGTCTTCTTTCTCTCTGTGTATGTGTGTGTGTTTATTTGTTTGTTTGTTTTGGATTATCATGTCTAGTGTGTGTATTATGAGTGTGTGTCATCAGTGTTTGAGGGAGCGTTACTGTCCTCTAGAGGAAAACACTGGTATAGACACACTTCACTTCATCCTCCCATACCGCTTTTCATTCTTTATTTTGATAATATAATGCATGGCTCTATTTATTAAAGTTGTTTACTGCATCATACTATAGCCTTTTCCTGCACTTTTACTCAACATAGGCCTACTTTATTTTGCACTGTTGCTATTTTGCATACTCCGATTGATGGTTATTTTACTTTAAATGACATATTTTGCATTAAACGCGTTTCATGCAGGTGACTATGCAAACATACAATCAGAGAGAGAGAGAGAGAGAGAGAGAGAGAGAGAGAGAGAGAGAGAGAGAAATTTATAGACTGTGATTTGAATAGCCAAGGCATTAGATATGTGGTGGTGTGTGTGTGCGCGCGCGTGTGTGTGTGTGTGTGGTGCGTGTGTTTCACAGCTGAACTTTCAGTGTTTTCCATCTGAAATCACAGAATCACGCGCTTAAATAAACTTAAAATGACCTTCTGTGATGAGCATTTGTACAAACAAACGAGATATCTGAACAAATCTGATATGGTTTAATTTTAAATAGCCAAAACATGATATCAAAGAAACACACACACACACACACATCTTTTAAAAGTCAGAATAAACTGGTTCAGAATGTTTACATTGAGGAACCTGCGGTTATCACACTAAAACACAATTTGTTTAGTATAGCTAATGGCTAATCAAAACTAAAATGTTGAAACTGGACAAATGCAGAGAAATATAGATCGTGAATTGATGCTGGGAACTCTTCATAAACCAAAACCATTCCAGCAGATCTCGATATCTGAATATTATTGACTTTTAGGGCGCAAATTGATTCTAAGCTGACGCGCTTCCTTTTTTAAATGCGCGCGCCGCAGGCGGTGTGACGCGCGAATCGTGAACGCGCGCGGCGAGGAAACCCGGATCCTGGTCAGCCACGTCACCGATCAGGGGTGCGAGCGCACAGACCAGCGCAGAACATCAGAGACTCACAGTAAATCATCGCTGATGCTGTGTTATATCTTAATATATTAGCTCGAGATTGACAATAACAGCCGGGGACCGTGTGCATATGAGGCGCGCGCGCTGAGCAGCTCATAGAAAAAGAGTTTGTATTATTATTATTATTATTTGTGCAGGACGAACATCTGGTCTGAGACAGAGAGCAGCTGCAAAACTCCACAAATCCAGCGATAAGATGAACATCTTCCGACTGTCTGGAGATCTGTGTCATCTGGTCGCCATCATTATTCTGTTCCTGAAGATATGGAGATCCAAATCATGCGCAGGTTAGTGCTATTATTTAATATGTGCCTTTAATTATGCACATCAGTGACAGGAGAGGAACCGGAGTGGATCTTATTTAGAATTTATTTGCACGCGAAAAACGCGTGAAGCTCTTTGAACGCACGCATGACGTGTAAATGATGTTACGCGTTTGTTAACGCAAGGTTTGTGTTGTGTTTACGTGGCAGCGGATTGCAGGGTGTCTGGCAGGATCTTCATGGGTTCTTCGGGTTCCTTGAGGAACTCCTGACCCGGTTGTGTCTTTGAGTGTGTTGTGTGTGTTCTGAAGTGTGTTGTTGTGTGTTTCAGGTATTTCTGGGAAGTCTCAGCTGCTGTTCGCGCTGGTCTTCACCACCAGATATCTGGACCTGTTCACTGCCTTCATCTCCATCTACAACACCGTCATGAAGGTGAACACTATGGAGGCCCATTTGGGTCACATCAGGGGACGGGGGTCAAAGAGTTATAATTTTAACATTATTATATAATGATAAAATTATAGACTTAACAACATTTTTAATTCTCATATAAAAAGTATATATTTTTTTAAAACTAAGTCATAATTATGATATAAAAATGATAAATTATGACTTAGTCATAAGTATATGATATATAAAGTATGAGTTATGAGATACAAAGTCATAATTATGAAATAAAAAATAATAATTTAGATAAAAGTCACTATATAAAAGGGGTAAATGATGAGTTACAAAGTAATAATTATGATATAAAAAGTATACATGATAAGATATTCATAATTATGATATCAAAGGAGTGAATGATGAGATGAAGTCATAATTATCATATTAAAAATATAAATCATGAGCTACAAAGTCATGATAATACAAGTATAAATAATTATATATTAAGTCATAGATATTATATAAAAAACAAAATAATGAGATACAAAGTCATAATTTGTGATATAAAATATTGAGATACAAGTCATTATATAAAAAGTATAAATTATGAGCTACAAAGTCATAATTATGATAATAAAAGAATAAATAATTATATATTAAGTCATAAATATGATATAAAAACCCAAATTATGATGTCATAAGTATAAATAGTATCAATTTAAATGAGTCATTATATAAAAGTATGAATTATGAGATAAAAAGTCATAACTATGATAAAAGTTTACATTCAGATACAAGCCATTATATGATACTAAGTCATAATTGTGATATAAAAAGGATAAATCATGAGATACTCATAATTATGATATCAAAGGTATGAATGGTGAGATTCTAAGTCATAATTATGATATAAAAAGGTATAAAATATTAGTCCCAGTCAAAATTATTATAAAAAAAGTATAAATTATGAGCTACAAAGTCATAATTATGATAATAAAAGTATAAATAATTATATATTAAGTCATGAATATTAAATAAAAAACAAGTTATGATATACTGTCATAATTAGAAAAAGTATAAATTGAGATAAGTTGTTATATAAAAAGTATGAATTATGAGAGAGTCATAATTATGATATAAAAGTATACATTTAGATAAAAGTCATTATATAAAAAGTATAAATTATGAGATACAAAGTCATAATTATGATATAAAAAGGATAAATTATGAGATGGTCATATTTATTTTTAACAAGTATACATTAGATACTCATAATTATGATATCAAAGGTATGAATGGTGAGATTCTAAGTCATAATTATGATATAAAAAGGTATAAAATATTAGTCCCAGTCATAATTATGGTATAAAAAGTATGAAATATAGTCAAAATTATTATAAAAAAAGTATAAATTATGAGCTACAAAGTCATAATTATGATAATAAAAGTATAAATAATTATATATTAAGTCATAAATATTAAATAAAAAACAAGTTATGATATACTGTCATAATTAGAAAAAGTATAAATTGAGATAAGTTGTTATATAAAAAGTATGAATTATGAGAGAGTCATAATTATGATATAAAAAGTATACATTTAGATAAAAGTCATTATATAAAAAGTATAAATTATGAGATACAAAGTCATAATTATGATATAAAAAGGATAAATTATGAGATGGTCATATTTATTTTTTAACAAGTATACATTAGATACTCATAATTATGATATCAAAGGTATGAATGGTGAGATTCTAAGTCATAATTATGATATAAAAAGGTATAAAATATTAGTCCCAGTCATAATTATGGTATAAAAAGTATGAAATATGAGATACAGTCAAAATTATTATAAAAAAAGTATAAATTATGAGCTACAAAGTCATAATTATGATAATAAAAGTATAAATAATTATATATTAAGTCATAAATATTAAATAAAAAACAAGTTATGATATACTGTCATAATTAGAAAAAGTATAAATTGAGATAAGTTGTTATATAAAAAGTATGAATTATGAGAGAGTCATAATTATGATATAAAAAGTATACATTTAGATAAAAGTCATTATATAAAAAGTATAAATTATGAGATACAAAGTCATAATTATGACATAAAAAGGATAAATTATGAGATGGTCATATTTATTTTTTAACAAGTATACATTAGATACTCATAATTATGATATCAAACGTATGAATGATGAGATTCTAAGTCATAATTATGATATAAAAAGATATAAATTATTAGACTCAGTCATAATTATCATATAAAAAATTATGAATTATGATAATAAAAGTATAAATAATGATGTATTAAGTCATTCATATGATATAAAAAACAAAATTATGATACTGTCATAATTATGTTATAAAAAGTATTAATTATGAGATACAAAGTCAAACTTATGATAATAAAAGTATAAATTATGATATACTGTCATAATTATAAAATACAAATATCGATTGAGGTAAGTCATAAAAAGTATAAATTATGAGATACAAATATAGATTGACATAAGTCATATAAAAAGTATAAATTATGAGATACAAAGTCATAATTATGATGTTATAAGTATACATTATGAGATACTACTGTACTAAATATTACATTCTTAAAAATAATTATTGAAAAAATAAGTCTCTTCAGTTGTCGGAAAATATACAAGGGACTATTTTGAGCACATGAGATGGAAACCCTGCTTCATTCACAAATGTTTTATCTGATATTCCAGTTTTGTTCAAAAATAAAATACCCAAGTTTGGATGGAGAAATAGCCAGTGTAAATCACATCCAGACATATCTCTCTCTCTCTCTCTCTCTCTCTCTCTCTCTCTCTCTCAGGTGGTGTATCTGGTCTTGGCGTATGCCACTGTTAGCCTCATCTACTCGCGCTTCAGGAACTCGTACGACTCTGAGAGCGACTCGTTCCGCGTGGAGTTCCTGCTGGTGCCGGTGGCCGGCCTGTCCTTCCTGGAGAACTACGCCTTCACTCCACTGGAGGTCAGAGTTCAAACGCTTCAGATATCAAGATCAAACACTGAACACATCTGTCTGTCTTTTTCAGTTCACTGTAAACACAAATAAGTTGGTAAATCAGTTACAGCAAAATATTTACGAAATTCAAAGAAACTGGCAGATTTTAATTTTGCGCTAATATTTGAATTGATCTTAACTTGAAATTTTTGAGTACGATTATTCATGTATAACATAAAAATATCATGTAATCTCAACTTCAATATTTTTAGTAGTGGAAACTTGGCTAGCTTTAACTAGGTAATTCCGTAAATGCTAACTTGCTAATTGGTAACACAATGCTTTGATAGCGTTAGCATAGCGATTGCGCAATGAGTACAGCAATGTAAAACATCTGATGTGTAAAACTTAGCTTGAACTAATGTGTTAAATTTAAGTTAACTCTACTCAAACCAATTCATTAATTTGAGCATTAGGGTTTATAGTTTATCTATCCATCCATCCATCGCTGTCACTGATTGTCTTTGTGTGTGTGTGTGTGTGTAGATCATGTGGACGTTCTCCATCTACCTGGAGTCGGTGGCGATCCTGCCCCAGCTGTTCATGATCACGAAGACGGGCGAGGCGGAGTCCATCACCACACACTACCTGTTCTTCCTGGGCCTGTACCGCTCGCTGTACCTCGCCAACTGGGTGTGGCGCTATCATGTGGAGGGGTTCTTCGACCAGATCGCCGTGGTATCCGGCGTCGTCCAGACCATCTTCTACTGTGACTTCTTCTATCTCTACTTCACCAGAGGTCAGCAGACGTCACACTTCTGAGGTTTAAAGGGACAGTTCACCCCAAAATCTAAAGCCTTATAATGGCAGTGAATATCTGTTTCTGTTTTGAAGTCCATCAAAGCGCATCTATCCATGATAAAAGTGCACTTTTATCATGTATAGATGCACTTTTATGATGGATAGATGCACTTTTATGATGGATAGATGCACTTTTATCATGGATAGATGCACTTTTATCATGGATAGAAGCACTTTTATGATGGATAGATGCACTTTTATCATGGATAGATGCACTTTTATGATGGATAGATTCACTTTTATCATGTATAGAAGCACTTTTATGATGGATAGATGCACTTTTATCATGGATAGATTCACTTTTATGATGGATAGATGCACTTTTATGATGGATAGATGCACTTTTATGATGGACAGATGCACTTTTATCATGTATAGAAGCACTTTTATGATGGATAGATGCACTTTTATGATGGATAGATTCACTTTTATCATGGATAGATGCACTTTTATAATGGATAGATGCACTTTTATCATGTATAGAAGCACTTTTATGATGGATAGATGCACTTTTATGATGGATAGATGCACTTTTATCATGGATAGATGCACTTTTATGATGGATAGATTCACTTTTATCATGGATAGATGCACTTTTATGATGGATAGATGCACTTTTATGATGGATAGATTCACTTTTATCATGTATAGAAGCACTTTTATGATGGATAGATGCACTTTTATGATGGATAGATTCACTTTTATGATGGATAGATGCACTTTTATGATGGATAGATGCACTTTTATGATGGATAGATGCACTTTTATCATGTATAGAAGCACTTTTATGATGGATAGATGCACTTTTATCATGGATAGATGCACTTTTATGATGGATAGATTCACTTTTATCATGGATAGATGCACTTTTATAATGGATAGATGCACTTTTATCATGTATAGAAGCACTTTTATGATGGATAGATGCACTTTTATCATGTGTAGAAGCACTTTTATGATGGATAGATGCACTTTTATGATGGATAGATGCACTTTTATCATGGATAGATGCACTTTTATGAAGGATAGATGCCCTTTTATAATGGATAGATTCACTTTTATCATGGATAGATGCACTTTTATCATGGATAGATGCACTTTTATGATGGATAGATGCACTTTTATCATGTATAGAAGCACTTTTATGATGGATAGAAGCACTTTTATCATGTATAGAAGCACTTTTATCTAGGGATGCACCGATACCGATACCGGTATCTGGTATCGGCCTCGATACCACATTTTCTAAAGTACTCGTACTCGTTAAAAGTCCCCCTATACCGGGGACCGATACCATGTTCTGAGAAATGGGTTAATCGCAGGCGCCGAGTGCCCACCCCCAGGCTCCGGCTGCAGCTCAGAGCGGGGAGATGGGGAGACATGTCAGCCGTGTGGTGATGCGCGGGTCAATGTATAAACAACCCGCACACTACCAACGTTTTCAACTACCCGCCCGCTACTCGGACCGCAAAAAAAGTAAGAAAATATTGTACCCGACCCTCTTCCTGACCGTATTTTTTAAAAGTAGTACATGCTCATCGTAGCGTCATTGGGCCATAAACGTGTAACAACACAGCATCGCAAGAAGACGTAGCCTACATCATCTTTCATTATTTCGGTAAATGTCTCCCACACTTACTCTTTCTATTTGTGTATTTGCGGAGCTTCCACTCCCCAGTCTTCACCTTTTCTCTTGCCGCCTCCATCTCTCTGCAGACTAGTGATCATAGACACGGCCGGTTCGTGAACGAATCGGTTCTTTTTAATGAACCGGTTGAACCAGTACGCTAAATCGAACTGAATCATTCGCATCAGTGCACGTCTTGCGTCAGTGCTGATCCACAAGTTACTACAGTTACTCACTTTCAGACATGCCTGACAGTCCCTCCGAGTTGAAATAAACCAATATCCCGAATTATATTTTACTCCAGTAACTCTAACAGTTCACTGAACTGAGACATGTTGTTGATACTGCGCATCCGCGTATAGTAACGAACGCAGAGGTACAGCGGTTCTCGGATCACACCAGTACAGAACTGAGAACTGTTTAGAATGAGCTTGTGTGTCATCTTCGTGCCAGTTATTCAGCCAATAAATAAATTCGGCCTATATATTTCATAGAAAATTCTATCTAGTACTATATAAATACAAAGGTTTAATTGGCATTTTTTTCCAAACGACCTGACCGACCGCGACCCGAATATTTTTGGATGACCCGTAACTGCGGGTAACCGCGGGTGACCGCGGCGCAGGCACCCGCTCATTTTGGATCAACCCGTGCATCACTGGTGTGGAACAATTTCAAAGTGAATGGCTTTGGATTAGGAGAATAAGTTTACTTGTAGTCGCCAAGTTACTTATAGTCAGTTGAATGTCTGTTGGGGGACCAAATAAATAAAGTGTTATCAGATATTAAGCTGATCGTACTAATACTCTAGTCTACTAATACTCTAATGACAGTTAGTTGACATGTAATTGAAAAGTTACTTATAGTTAGTAAAGTGGACTATCGAAATAAAGTGTTACCCAAGTAATTTAATCAAGGACCTAAAAACCCGTATATAAAAATATTTAAATCATGTTTTTTTTTTTTTTTTTTTATTAAGTACTCGGTATCGGTATCGGCGAGTACTGAAATGCAAGTACTCGTACTCGTACTCGTTTTCCAAAAAAGTGGTATCGGTGCATCCCTACTTTTATCATGTATAGAAGCACTTTTATGATGGATAGATGCACTTTTATCATGTATAGAAGCACTTTTATGATGGATAGAGGCACTTTTATCATGGATAGATGCACTTTTATGATGGATAGTTGCACTTTTATCATGGATAGATGCACTTTTATGATGGATAGATGCACTTTTATCATGTATAGAAGCACTTTTATGATGGATAGATGCACTTTTATCATGGATAGATGCACTTTTATCATGTATAGATGCACTTTTATCATGGATAGATGCACTTTTATCATGGTTAGATGCACTTTTATCATGGAGAGAAGCACTTTTATGATGGATAGATGCACTTTTATGATGGATAGATGCACTTTTATGATGGACAGATGCACTTTTATGATGGATAGATGCACTTTTATCATGGATAGATGCACTTTTATCATGGATAGATGCACTTTTATGATGGATAGATGCACTTTTATGATGGATAGATGCACTTTTATCATGGATAGATGCACTTTTATGATGGATAGATGCACTTTTATGATGGATAGATGCACTTTTATCATGGATAGATGCACTTTGATGATGGATAGATTCACTTTTATCATGGATAGATGCACTTTTATCATGGATAGATGCACTTTTATGATGTATAGAAGCACTTTTATGATGTATAGATGCACTTTTATCATGGATAGATGCACTTTTATAATGGATAGATGCACTTTTATAATGGATAGATGCACTTTTATAATGGATAGATTCACTTTTATCATGGATAGATGCACTTTTATCATGGATAGATGCACTTTTATGATGGATAGATGCACTTTTATCATGTATAGAAGCACTTTTATGATGGATAGAAGCACTTTTATCATGTATAGAAGCACTTTTATCATGTATAGAAGCACTTTTATGATGGATAGAGGCACTTTTATCATGTATAGAAGCACTTTTATGATGGATAGATGCACTTTATCATGTATAGAAGCACTTTTATGATGGATAGATGCACTTTTATCATGGATAGATGCACTTTTATCATGTATAGAAGCACTTTTATGATGGATAGATGCACTTTTATCATGGATAGATGCACTTTTATCATGTATAGAAGCACTTTTTATGATGGATAGATGCACTTTTATCATGGATAGATGCACTTTTATGATGGATAGTTGCACTTTTATCATGGATAGATGCACTTTATGATGGATAGATGCACTTTTATCATGTATAGAAGCACTTTTATGATGGATAGATGCACTTTTATCATGGATAGATGCACTTTTATCATGTATAGATGCACTTTTATCATGGATAGTTGCACTTTTATCATGGATAGATGCACTTTTATGATGGATAGATGCACTTTTATGATGGATAGATGCACTTTTATCATGTATAGAAGCACTTTTATGATGGATAGATGCACTTTTATCATGGATAGATGCACTTTTATCATGTATAGATGCACTTTTATCATGGATAGTTGCACTTTTATCATGGATAGATGCACTTTTATCATGGATAGATGCACTTTTATGATGGATAGATGCACTTTTATGATGGATAGATGCACTTTATCATGGATAGATGCACTTTTATCATGTATAGATGCACTTTTATCATGTATAGATGCACTTTTATCATGGATAGTTGCACTTTTATCAATGGATAGATGCACTTTTATCATGGATAGATGCACTTTTATCATGTATAGAAGCACTTTTATCATGGATAGATGCACTTTTATGATGGATAGGTGCACTTTTATGATGGATAGATGCACTTTTATGATGGACAGGTGCACTTTTATGATGGACAGATGCACTTTATGATGACAGGTGCACTTTTATGATGGATAGGTGCACTTTTATGATGGACAGATGCACTTTTATGATGCATAGATGCAATTTTATGATGGACAGATGCACTTTTATCATGTATAGATGCACTTTTATGATGGATAGATTCAATTTTATGATGGACAGATGCACTTTTATGATGGACAGATGCACTTTATGATGGATAGATGCACTTTTATGATGACAGATGCCCTTTTATGATGGATAGATGCAATTTTATGATGGACAGATGCACTTTTATCATGGATAGATGCACTTTTATGATGGATAGATGCAATTTTATGATGGACAGATGCACTTTTATGATGTATAGAAGCACTTTTATGATGGATAGATGCACTTTTATCATGTATAGAAGCACTTTTATGATGGATAGATGCACTT